CTATGAGCGTAGGATCGCTGAGCTCCAAGCCGAGGTTGACTAGGCACGAGCTGAGAAGGAGGCCGAGGCCGATAGGTCGAAGGCCTTGATAGCCCAAGCTCGCACCGATCTGAAGAACGCCCGGGGCCGAGCTAAGACCGCAGAGAAGGGCTGGAATGAAGCTCAGTAGAATCTAGCCAGCTGGGATTATTTGGAGAAGAAGGTCAAAGAATTCCCCGAATTCGATGGCCTAGCTCGCGACCTGGCGGACAAGGGCTTTTATTACGCTATCAATCGGCTCGACACTGCTTGCTCGGTAAGGAGGCCGAGGCTATTGAGATCGCTGAGGTTGCTGACGCTGACGCAGAAACTAGCAAGCCTGTCGACCTTCCGCAGGAATAGACCGCCTTCTTCTTCTACTGCTTCTTTTCTCAATTTTTTTTAAAACAAATTACTGTACTGAGCCGAGGCATATATACCTCGGCTCTTCATCAAACTTAGAATTCAATGAAGTGAGGTTGTTTGGTTTAGATCCGAGTTATTCTCTCCGAGGTCCATAAACTTAGAGAAATTTAATTAAACTTTAATTATACCTCGGCTCTTCATCAAACTTTAATTTCAATGAAAACAATCTTCGTCCAAACTTGAGTTGTTCTCTCCGAGGTCCCTATACTTAGAGAAATTTAATTAAACTTTAGCTTTAGTTTTGGTCTCGTTGTTTGAGTTCTCAAGTCTTAGTAATTTCTCATCCCAACAACGGCTTACGAGCCGAACAACTCAGCTCGGCGGTGTGTATTTGGGATAACCAGGTTCCTACGAGCTGACCATTGCTTCGCGTGTTTGTAAAAATATAACTCATCGTAGGTCGTTTAGCATAGGTCATACCACGTAGTCTTCCTTGGCCCCCATTTGACGTAGCTCGGGAGTAGTAACAGCTCTAACAAATAAAGTCAAATTTTGCAAAAGTCATTGGAGATCGGCTTTCATTAATGAATGAAATTTTACACGTCGGATTACACACATTTCACTGATAGTAAACTCACAAATGCTCGGTGTTCCATGGGTGGGGGAGTTGTTTCCCATTTAGGTCGGACAACAAATACGCTCCAGGTCGGAGTATTTTTAAGACTCTGTATGGGTCTTCCCAGTTCGACTCGAGTACGCCGACATGCTGCATTACCTTCTTGAGGACGAGGTCGCCAGGCTTGAACGTTTTGACTTTTACCCTGGCGTTGTAGTACCGAGCCATACGGTTCTGATATTCTGCTAGTCGAAGCTGGGAGTGAGATCTTTTCTCCTCGAGGAGGTCAAGGTTCACGAGTAGAGCTTCACTGTTGGCTTGCTCGTCGAAATTCTCAACTCAAGGTCTTGGCATGCCAACTTCCACAGGGACAACAGCCTCTGACCCGAAGGCTAGGCCGTATGACGTCTCACCAGTAGATCGGCGGGGTGTAGTTCGGTAAGACCACAATACCTCTGGTAACTCTTCTGCCCACCGACCTTTCAGAGATTCCAGTCTCGTCTTCAAGCCACGCTTGATGATCTTGTTGATGGCTTCAACTTCTCCGCTAGGCTGCGGATGGGCAGGCGACGAGCTGAGGTGACGTATGATGAGCTAATGACAGAATTGATTAAACCGGGTGCCATCAAACTGCTTTCCATTGTCAGTAATGATGGCGTTCGGTATACCGAACCGACATATTATGCTCTTCCATACAAAGCTGACGACCTTCGCCTTGGTAATAGACGCTAGAGGTTCCGCTTCCACCCACTTGGTGAAGTAATCTACAGCTACTATGGCGAACTTCAACTGCCCCCTCCCCATCGGTAATGGGCCGATCAGATCTATCCCCTACTGAGCGAAAGGCCAAGGGCTTGAGATCGGCGTCAGCATCTCCGGGGGTTGCCTCGAAATGCTTGCGAAGCGTTGACATTTAACGCATGTTTTGGCGAACTCCTTGGTGTCGCGCTCAATCGTCGGCCAGTAGTAGCCCTGGCGGACGACTTTCGAGGCCGTGGACCGAGCTCTTCCATGGTTTCCACAAACCCCTTCATGAATCTCGCGCATGACATACCTCGCCTCTTCTGGGTCGAGGCACTGCAGTAATGGTAAAGAATATCCCCTTTTTAAGAGATTGCCTTTTTTGCATCAAGTAGTGAGCAGCTTGGCGTCGGAGCTTTCTGGCCTGACTCGGATCGGCGAGGACTGAGCCATTGACCAGGAAGTCCTTAATTGGGTCTATCCATGTAGGCTGAGCTGACGTGATCTCTATTATCTCAGGCTGGTCGATGGACGACTCAGCAAGTATTTCAACTGGAACCGTTCTTGGTAGATCAGTCTCGTATGCCGAGGCCAGGCGAGCCAGTGCGTCGGCGTTGGAGTTTTTGGACCTCGGCACCTGTTGAATCACATAGTCTTCAAACTGGGCGAGGAGCCCTCGGGCTTTGGCCAGATACCTATCCATACGAGCTTCCTTTACTTGGTACTCCTCGGTAACCGGATTGACAATCAGTTGGGAGTCGCTGAGAATCAAAAGTCGCCTCACGCCCATCCCTCTGGCGACCTTTAGTCCATTTATCAATGCCTCGTACTCGGCTTCGTTGTTGGAAGCTCGGAAACCAAACCGGAGTGCGTACCCAAATCGAAGACCGTCGGGGCCGAGGAGCAGCATACCTGCCCCACAACCTTTCTCATTGGACGAACCATCCACATAGAGTGTCCACTGGTCACGGACATCGCCCCCTTGCCTGGGTGGGGTCAGCTCGGCAACAAAGTCTGCGGCTGCCT